AGCTGGGTGTGAAGCTCTTCCTTCCTTTAAGAACTCCCCACAGACGGCGCCAAATGATGGGTCTACTTCCAGATCTGAAGTAAACCGGTGGTTGTGAGCTCAGATGTGCTTGAACCGCCTCAAAACCGTTGCTAGGCCGCGAGAATACCTGCAAAAACTCAACGCCGGAGGTGTTTCCGGCGTAGAGCCTCCGACGCTCAAGTCAGTATGTGAGTGATGAAGAGAGGCTGCGCAGCAGCTATGGGGGAGAGTGGGAATGAATGAGAGTTAGGGTTTGGGTTACCTCGCCTCCTTTATATAGGAGTGAATACTTACTTGAAGTGCCCAAAATGCCCAAGTCGGTGGACCTAGAAGGTCCAAAATGCCCCAGTCGATTCGTCTCCCCTTAGTTGCTGAGTCATCGCAAGATTCCTTCTTATCCTTGGTAATGTGCAGAGCTTTGGATATGTTGCAAGTGTGGTGAATCGTCTTCACCCCTTTGATCCTCGAGAGGCACAGAGTCGACCTCGAGGACTAGGAGGTCGACTTACGAATATACAGTTTCGGAGGCTACACTTGGTTTAACTCCCTGTGGTGGTCATCTCTTAGAGAGTCGTCATGAGGAAGTCGACTAGTGGAAGTCGACTTAAAGTGTCTGGATGGTTGGGAGTTGCATTCTTGATGTCCTTCTAGTATGAGGCCGACTAGCAGAAGTCGATAGTTAGAGGTCGACTTGTGGGAGTCGACTAAACCAATTTCTGCCTCTTCTTGATTGTTTTCGGTAAAGTCGACTTCAGGGAAGTCGACTCGAACATGTCGACGAATCACCTCGATATGTGAGTCGTTCAAATGGTTCACCGGTCGAGTAGGAAGCCTCTTAGGCCGGGTTATCCTTATGTGACTATATCAACTGGTGAAATCCAAGATGAAAATTCAATGTTATCTAGAGAGAAAAAGGGTGAAAAACGAGTTTGGAGTTCATATATTAGGTCTGGGAACGTATGCTAATGAAAAGTGCTCGAAAAATCGAGAAGAAGTGCAGAAAACTGGGAAAACAAAAGAAGATACCGAAAAGCTAAAATAAAAGAAAACAAGCAACAAACCACAAAACAGACTAAACACCAAAGAAAATACCTAAAATGGGGGAATAAGAAAGACACAACAATAACGAAAAATGCAACAAAAATGAGACGAACAACTCACCGACACTTAAACCTTTGTTCGTCCTGAACAAAAAGGAAAACAAAACACAAGCATAGATAACAGTTTCAAATAAGAAGAGCTTCACATTGTTCAATTTAACCAGGTCAAATTCCAATGACCACAAGACCACATGCCTTAATTATTAACTTGGCCTTGAAATGACAACTCTCAAGCACGAAAATATAAGTATATGCCTCACTCAGTCTCTTACACGAATATGTGATAGGTACGCTCAAATTGATCAATAATCAAGTTTCAACTATGCTTGTTTATCATATAATATTACTCAAACACAATTATAGTTCGAGAACTTGCATATCAAGAGGACTTCACGGGTTGTAATGCAGGCTTTTTTGTCAAGGTAAGGATATATATGAGGGACAAGAAACTCAAATAAACAATCACAATTCTCGAGCAAATAGAATACTCAAGTACTCCGCTACTCATCCGTAAACAACATGTCAATACACATACCACCCAACTGAAACTCCACAAACAACACATAAATGCTCAAATCGAGTTGTAACTTTGCTATACCGCTTTATTTATTTATTTATTCAATTTTTCATTTCTTTTTTCAAGAGAGTTATTTTTTTTTTCTGAACAAGATCGAATCGAAAAGACAAAATTCTGAAGGTTTGAACATTGGAGATCTAGGCCATCTTTGTCTACATGAGTGCTGATCCAAAGGAAAGAATAGAAAAAAAGAGACTACCTGTTGAATGCAAAGCAGAACTGAGGCTGTTCTTGGTACATAGAAGGTGATTGGAATGATATCTTCCATGTGGACGACAAAAGAGGGGGCAACATTAGGAATGGTTACTCCATCAGAGGGTTTTAGCTCTTCATAGCAAAGATGGGTAAGCAAGAAATTGGTACGAGTGGATACCCGTACACCTGGTGTATTAATAGATTGGGTCCTTTTTTCATAGAAGAAAAAAAAACAGGTTTTTTTGCCTCTCTAGGCTTGCTCTCCAATTTCCCAAACACTCACTCCCCAAACATCCTAAGGAGCTCTTCAGACCACAACGTAGTTCTCTTGCTCCCTTAACCTGATGTTGATAAGCCCAAAAAAAGATTCACTTTTGACAAACGGTGGATAGGAAAGGAAGGAATTCATGAAGTAATCTCTCAAGCCTGGAATATCAATCTCTCTGGTACTCCTCTGTTTCAATTCAGTTGCAAGCTCAAAGAAGTCAGAATTGCTCTCCTAAAATGGAGTAGGACTTTCAAAACTGACAATGCCAGAAGAATAGAGACCATCTCTAAGGATCTCAACACACTCAGAAGTTAAGGAGGTCAAAGAGTATGGAGTTTGTGGAACTGGATTAAATCTCAACTAGCTATGGTACACAAAGATGAAGTAGCTTACTGGTCTAAAAAATCCAGAATTTAGTGGCTCAAGGATGGTGATAAGAACACAACGTTCTACCATGTCTTTACTTTCTAAAGAAGAAATCCAATGCCATCTCCAGACTGATTAAAGAAGATAATGTCATCTGCAACTCCAAAGAGGAAATTGAAAACTGCATAACTGAGTACCTCTTCCAATCTGAAGGATCTTGGAAAACTGAAGGAGCCCTTAACTGCATACAATCAAACATCTTTGAAATTGCCATGCTGCCCTAACAGGACAAGTGGAGGAAACTGAAATCAAAAGGTTCCATGACAGCAGGAACCCCAACAAAGCCCCTGGAATCGATGGTATGTCCACTCTCGTTTATAAAAAGTTCTGGAATGTTATTAAAGTTGATCTGTGTCATGTTGTTCAAAGCTTCTTTACCTCTCTTCAAATTCTGAAAAACTGGGAATCATATAGTGATAACTCTTGTGCCAAAATGTCTAAACCCTTCTTCTGTTAATAACTATAGACCCATCAGCCTTTGTGGTGTCCCTTACAATATCATTTTCAAATTTTAGCTTTTAGACTCAAACACTATCTTCAGGATTGTATCTGTGATAGCTAAACTACTTTTATTCCAGGTAGAAACTTGATGGATAATGTGGTAATTGCAAATGAAGCTATTCACTTTTAAATCGACATTTAATTTGCAAAAATTACTACATGGTCCTCAAGCTTGACATGGCTAAGGCCTTTAACCGAATTTAATGGGCTAGCATTTGGAAAATTATGTCTAAAATAGGATTTCATGCTAAATTTATAAATTGGATTATAGCATGTGTGCCTTCTCCTACCTTTTATTTCAACACTATTGGCGCTGTCAGTGGTTTTGTGATTCCTTCCAGGGATATTAGACAGGGTGACCTAATATCCCGTTACATTTTCATCATTGTTGCTAAATGTTCTCTGGCTTGATCCATAAAGCCTCCTCTGAAGGATCATTGCAGGGTATCAGAATCTTCAGAGAGGGTCCTGCTCTCAATCACCTATTTTTTGCGGATGATATCCTCCTGTTTTGCAAAGCTAATCCTCATAATGCAGGTTCCATCCTCCAGATTCTTCAGACTTATAATCTCCTTATATGGCAAAAAGTCAATATGAAAAAATCCTCAGCATTCTTTAGCAAGAACACTCCAATTTTCCATCACAGACAGATCTACTCCATCCTCAATGGCATACATGTAAAGCACTCTTCCATCTATCTGGGGCTCCCTTTGAGTATTAGCAAATCAAATAGGGACACTTTTGCTTTTATTATTGAGGCTGTGAGGAAAAGAATCCTAAGCTGGAAAAATAAGTTTCTTTCATCTGCTGGAAGGAAAATCTTGATCAAGTCTGTGTTGTCTGCTCTACCAGTCTTTTTCATGTCATGCTACACTTTACCCGTATCTCTGTGCAAAGAACTCTCTCATTTTATGGCTGGCTTTTGGTGGAACAAAGGTGATTCAAAAATAGAAGGGTATTCACTGGAAATGTTGGATCACTTCACTTTACCTCTTGCTGAGGGTGCCTTGGGTTTTGCTGACGTATGACTATTCAATGAAGCATTAATCCTTAAACAGCTGTGGAGGCTTATCACAAAGCCTAACCTGCTAATGAGCAAGATAATGAAATCCAAATATTTCTCTAACAGTGCATTGTTTGTCTCAGAGGCCCATTCCAGTAGCTCTTAGCTTTGGAAAAGTTGGATGAAAGCTAACTCCTCATTTCTTGAAGGCTTATCTTTTATGGTGGGTGATGGAAAATCAACAATGATATGGGAAACCCCCTATATTCCAACCATCCCCTCTAAAAGGCTGAAACCACAAATCTTATTAGGTGCCCACAGTGACCTCATCTGAGTCTCTCTGCTTTTGGCTCCAAATGGCTGCAGCTCGAATGCCCCTCTGGTTCAAAGCATCTTTCCTGAATTTGAGTGTACTGCCTATTTTGAAGATCTCTACTTTGCATAACCATAGGAAGGACAAGTTTGTTTGGGACTATGAAAAAAAGGGTTATTTTTCTAATTCTTCCTCTTATTCTCACTTGGTTAACAGGAAGTCAGGACCTTGGATATTGCTGAATCCAGCTCCAACTAGTATTGGACCAAAAAAGTTAGGAACATAAGCTGGAGATTGAAGATAAAAAAAGAAGATAAATCACTTTATATTGAAAAGCTTTAATGGTAATCTCCCTACCAATAACAACCTGCTCAAAAGAGGTATCCAACTTGACCCTATCTGCAAAGTCTGTGGTGAAGTTGAAGAGAATGCAGACCACCTATTTTTCTCCTGCCCCAGAGCTAGACTGGTGTGGAAATTGGCTGCTACAGGTTGTAGTTTTGACCAGGTTGACAGTGTTAGGTGTTAGGATACAGACAACTTCCCTTACTAGTGGAAAACAGTGTTCTTTTCTTCAAAGCTTCATGTGGAGATAGATAGAATTAAACTTAAGACCTACATTCTATGATGGCAGTGAAAAGCCAGATGCCTTTGGATCTTTCAAAACTGCTGGAAATCAGAACAACAAATTGTGAAGTCTACTCGGTTGGACTGGAGAGAGTTCTCCGGCATTTCATCTTTTGGTTGATCCTTTTTTATCTATTCCTTATTTTTATTTTTTATTAGTGGGTTGTTTTGTTGCTTTGTGTTGTTGCTTCTTTTTTCTTAGCTAGGCTCATAAGGGCAGTGGTTAGTGTGCTTTTGAGGAGTGGAGTTGGTTCTTATAGGCCTCAGCATTATTGCTGCCTCATAGTTCCCCTCCATTGTTTGTCTAGTTTGCTTAGTCCCCTTATGGACTCTGATTTAGTTTGTATTTTGGCCCACCCGGACCCTTTGTACATTTTGTAACGCCCCACTTTATTTTGAAAGATTTATCGTTATTTAATAAAAATCAAAGTAAATTTTTCGCAAATCTCAAATTTAATTTAAAACTCATTAGGCGCTACTTAACTACCAAGAACTATTAATCGAAACTACAACCACATCAATTAAATTCAGAAGTCCTGTGGACATTTGAACACTTAGACTCGGCTCTAAGACTCAACCGAACACGCATGAGAGTTCACATAATCTCAATCAAAGACTTACCAAGTCACACAAACAAAGAATAGCATACGAGTCGGTTTACAGTTTTTATCATAAAAACTATATCTTTGAAAAACTAATCGATAAATCACATAATCAGGTTGGTCAGGTTGCCAAATGGGTTAAGCCTTGACATTTGAACTAAAAATCTAACTCACTAAACTCAGTAAACCCACCAAATTTCAGCCCTTAACTCAAAATATATGATTTAATAAAATTCGAACATGATTTCAGCAAAAACGAGCATAGATTTAATGATTGACATAATGAACGATTCACCCTTTGAAATTTTTACACAACAGACCTCAGCATATGCATATCAACATATAAAAATTTCAGCCTTAAACACTTAACATGCGAATTTTAAAAATTCTAACAAAATTCTGCAGCTTTTGAATTCTCATCAAAACTGAACCAATATGAACTCCAAAAATTCTGATATTTTTACAGCATGAAAAAAATTACAAAATAGACAGTTCCAAAAATCAGAATTTTACAGCAACAGATCAGATTATCGTAGTTAAAAAAATTTTTGGCAGAATAACACAATGAATTATTTACCTTATCAAACTGAGTCCAAAAATTCTGAAACTTTTACACAACGTATAAATAAGACAGACAGACAACATATTAAAAATTCAACCATGTTGGAGCACCGATAGATTTTTATATGCAAGTTACATGATTCTGCCAAGAATTTCAAACAATTATTAAAAATAGCTACAGTGGTTAATAAATTATAAAAATTTTACACGACCCACATATCCATCTCTAGAACCTACACATAAAGTTTCACATCAAACAGATCAGTGTGCAATTTATCATGAATTTAATACGAATTCAACAATTATACGAGTTCGACAATTCATAAATGACTCGACACAAACCGAAAATGCCCGAGGCCATCACATAAGGTCAAGGATCCTTTATGTTCCAATTTCCCACAGCATTTACATGTTTATAACATGATCTCGTTCGAGTTCGCACGAACCGAAGAGATCGACACATAATTAATTTAAAACAAGGCTCTATATCAACATTGATCAAAGGCATGTAAATAAATTCATCACACGAAATAACAAATGACAACAATACGGTACACATAAATTAATGTGACGGGGTTCAAGCCTTTGTACCGTTCTCGGGAACACGTTCGAAAACGGAACGAAAGAACGAACGGCACGTCGAAGGCGGCTCGCAGCGGCGGCAATGGGCTCGACGGCTGCGCTTCGTCTCGCGGAGGAGGACAGCTCGCGGTGGAGAAGGGCGGTTCGCGGCGGAGTTGCTGTTGGCTCGTCGTTGAGAACCTCGCGAATAGCTGCTGCACGAACGGGAATCGCCAGAGATGTTGTGGGGTCGTCTATGCGTGGACAAGGGCTCACCGGAATCTTCTGCTCGTCAGCGATTCTTGGTGGCTGTGGTAGCAGGTTCATCGAAGGCCGGCACGGTTGCTGCTCGCGGAGGGAAAGAAGGGCTCGCCAGTTGTTGCTGGTTGCCGAGGGTTTGCGAGTAGGCGGCGGTCGGAGATAGGCCTGCCGGCTTACTGTTGGCCGCGGACGTCGGAGGACGAGGGTTGTTGCGATGGCGAGAGGATGGTGATGGAGATTGGAGATGTAGGCACAGACGACGATCGAAAAAGAGGAGAGGGAGAGATGAGATGAAGCTCGGTTTCTTAACGAGTGATGGCGACAGAATTTTGTCGTGAGGGGGAGGAGAAAATATCATATTTTTGAGAGAGAGAGAATGACTGCGGGAATGAGAGCAGATTTGAGATTGTCTGCAGGTGCTCGTGAAAGGAGTCGAAACTCATAGACGTAGGGTTTTCTTTTTCTTTCTTCTCCTTCAAGACTCAAACACACACGCGCACAAAAGGGGAGGAAAACCAGACCGGTTTTTTTTGGGGCTGGGCCGGTTCAAGTGGCGGGTTCGGGGGTCCGGTTCAGCTGGGTTGGGGCTCAGACCGAGTCGCGGTTTAACTTGTTATTTTACGGGTTCGCCTTAGTCCGAAAATATCTCGGTTCGAACGCATGACGGTTAAAATAAAATCGGATTTTTATTTAATACACACAATATTTAATAATAATAACATTTAGACATTTTATAAATAATAATAATATTAATAATAATAATAATAATAATAAATAATAAATAAAACTAAATAATCCATAAATAAATGGGGCGCTACACATTTTCTTTGTAGTTATAAATTATATTATTTCGAAAAAAAAAACATTGGAGGTCATCCAAGTGTCCTAAAGTGGTGTCCCAATCTCATTACTCGTCAAAGTAAATCGACAAGTAAGCGGAGTAGAATCTATTAAATTCGTCTTGAGAGCTCTCTCTTATTATATTTTTAATTTAATTTTGGTCAAGAAAAAAAAATTCAACTCAATCTCACCTCATTCAACAACGACTCCATCTTTTCCCATCATCACAGAAAACAATAACCAACCAAATGCATGATATGTACGGCTGAGAAGAAAAAGCTCAAGCTCAAACGGGCTGTAAGTGCAAATTGATTTTTTTAAGGACCAAAGAACAAGGCTAGAATGAGCTAATTCAAAACAAAACACCTCAATTATATTCACAATTCCCGACTACAACCGAATTCTTTGAAACAGATTCAATGCAAGTTCTAATTATTAAAGTATAAAACCAATCTCTCTCAAATAAAAAAGAGTAAGGATCAAGATCTCCCAAGGTAAAATACAAGTCAATCAAGGGAATCGAGCAATTATCAAGGCAATGACCCACGATCATCATCACAACTTCCCCAATTTCATCAAACAATCATCAATAAGTCTTATAATTCACCAAAATTTAATACTCGACAACACAAACACTGACGCAAGACCAAACACCAAGCAAAAGCAAACAATAAAAACAACCTAAAACAACTAGACCTAGTCAACCATTTAGATACATAAGCATGCAAAAACTTCCCCCACACTTGAAACCGAACAATGTTCTCATTGTCGATCATGAGCGTTAGGATTGTTTACCCATATAATCAACCAACACAAAAATCGAGAAACTAAATAAAACAAGAAGAGAAGGGAAAGGTACAATACAAGGCACAATGACTAGACAAGTCACTGTGAATTCGGAGGTACTGGTGGAGGGTGAAGGTAGTCAATCACCGAGTAGCGGCAAGCGTCTGACCGATCATATCTATCATCCCATTGGGACCGGGGCAGCTTTGCAAAAATCGACTTAGAAGGATCTGGGTAACGACTGGTTGGCCGCTTCTTTTCTGATGTGGCTATGTAAAGACTTCTTCGTGTACTCTTGCATACACGCATCCTCGATGATCTGGTCTATTGCCGCAATGGACATGCATTCTTCCACAGAATTTACCCAGAAATCTAGTTTAGTTGCTCGGACAGAAATAAACTCTCCCAACACAGTCATGCTCGTGGTCCCGTTCTTCATATCAATAACCGTGTTCTTAGTCGCCATAAAGGATCGTCCGAGGAGGATGGTGTGTTCCTTCCCATAATCTTGCACATCCCCCACGTCAAGCACAACAAAGTCAACAGGGATGATCAACTTCTCAACTTGAACGAGCACATCCTCCACAATACCTGCGGGTTAACGGAGCAAACGGTCTGCTAGCTGCAGGCGCATCCTAGTAGGTGTAACACCCCGCTTATCAGAGTAACTTTTTCGCAACCTTTTACTTCGATATCACTTTAACTTTTTCGAAATAATTGCAACTTACTCGGAATGCTACTAAACTCGTCTTCTTGAAAATCCGTTTATCTTTAAACTGTTGTCTAATACTTCTTTAGACTTATTAAAACAGATTTCCTTTAAACTTGCATTTAACATATTATCATCATATTTCTCATAAAAACTTGAAATCTAAAATTCATTAAAATGCAAGTTTAATAATTAATGTGCGTAGCAGAAATATTTGAAACGTGGTTAATTATACAAACTTTATAAATGTCCACATTAAAGCTTGTCTTCATTTTCTTCCACGATCCACACCACACGGCTCTTCTCACATCTCCTCGTTAACCTGTTACCTGAAACTAAAACTCATGGGGGTGAGTAACGAATATGGATAATCATAAACCGATATCTGATCGGTAACTTAAACTTAAACTTTCATTTCTCTGGCCGATGGTTAATCGGATACGTGTGCACACTCTGATGGATATTTCTCAGGCCGTCTCGCCTCCATCAGAACTTAGGATAAAATCTTTGAGACAAATTAATGCCTCCTCATTTCAAGCGTAATAAACCTTAAACTTCAGGATATAACTTTTGAGACAACTGATGGTCTCCTCATCCCATATCACATATCGTACTCAATGTGCTACCCATTCAGGGTCCCCACCTTTTCATCTTTGAAATCTTTTGTAACACGATAAGCGCTGTACTGGTACTGTATCTGCAAGTAAATTCAAATATAGACAAATATACTAAATACTATGCTCGTATA